CCATAGCAGTTAATCTTGATCTATACTGCTGAAATTTAAGAAGCATAATGGTGGTTACATTTGTAGTCTAAGTTACTAATTTTTGAGACAGAAATTGATTGTCATAACAAATTCTAAGTGGGCTTTTGCAAAAACTGCGTCGCATTTCTTTCTCTATGACCTTCTGGACTTCTGGTTTTTCCCTTTACGTTTCTTAAATTTGAACTAAGAAATTTGACTGTGTTGAAGAAACTGTATATATGACTATATATGCCCTCTTTCTCCACCTCCATAAAATTTGAATAAACATATTAATTTGACGAGGAATTATATGTGGGTCTTTCTGAAAAGCCTGGTCTCTCTTTCTTTCCTTACCTTGTTACCTACTCACACTTTACATATTCTTTATCTTGCTACCTTTTGAAATTTGCCCTTTTTTGTGTGAAAAAATTGACCCTGATGATGAGCATTATGTTTGTCTTGTATAGCTTTTTCCTGAAGTATGTACTGCTTTTTTATTTTTCTTGTCATCCAAAGCTAGTTTACCTCATATCTGCAATATGAGTGTTATACTGCTGAAATTTGGTCATCAACCTGATTTTGGTGATAATCAGTGATGTATTCCAAGTGGGTATTCACCAATGTTCATAGTTTTTCCTCCCTTCTTGTGCCTTACTATTTAAATGTATTCATTAGCATAAAAACTCTATACCATGTTATGTGAACCTAATTTTGATGACAAACATGTATATGTGCTTGTGTGTGTGAACTCGTGATTGACTCTAATCCATAGCCATCCAACCCATAAGATAGCTTTTTACTAATCGAGAAGATGAATGTGAAATGATTTATGGCAAAACAATGAAAAAAACCATTGCATTAATTTGATCTCTTCTATATATGTTGGTTTTGCTGTCTTCTTTTTCTTTTGCTAAACAAATGCTATAGCCTGCTCTTGAACCTGGGATCTCCCTTTATCTAGCCTCCTATTTACTATTAAGCCAATTCATTCACATGAGAGTTCTATAATTGTCATCTTAAAGCTTTATTATTTCCCTCCTTTTGGTAACTTGTCCTACTTGCGGTCCAGGGCGGGAACCACTTCCCTTTCTGCATCTGGGCTTCTAATTCCTGAAGGCTCCTTGAGCAACCCACCACCAATTCTTGAGCACATTGCGAGTATCAATAATCATGCAGGCGCTATCGTTGTCTCTACAGCCTCTATTATTGAGCCCTTCCTCACTGCTCAGCATAGAGATAATCCCACCAAAGTTGATGCTGCAATTTTCTTTCTGACTTTTGCCCTTTTCAATACTTAGTTTTTTTGTTTGGTTATAAACTTTAAATATATAATGCAACCCGTGAACACCTCATATCACATGTTTTGCAGGAAAATTTTCCGAAATTAATTCCCAGTGCCTGCATTGATGTTCTTGTGGAGGTAAATAGTTCACTAGATGATATCTTATTGAAAATAGAGAAAATCCTTTATCTTATTATGAAACCTCTTGGGCTTATATAGAACCCTACAAATACAACTTACAAATAAACCCCTAAATATTATCAATATGTCAACACTCCTCCTCAAGATGGGCGAAAGATATCTACTAAGCCCATCTTGTCACATCCTCTAATCATATCTACTGAGCTAAGTCCCTTTGTCAGACAGTCTGCTGCCTAGTCCATAGTTGGAACATGACTTAACTCCAGTAGTCCACTGTCCAATTTCTCTTTGATAAAGAACCTATCGATCTCGATGTGTTTGGTTCTATCATGCTGCACTGGGTTGTTGGGTTGTTGGCGATACTGATGGCTGACTTGTTATCACATCACAGCTTTATCTTAGCTCATTGATCCAGCTTCAGTTCCACCAGCATATTTTTCAACCACAACAATTCCGCAACTCCCAAGGTCATAGCTCTATACTCTGCTTCAGCTGTTGATCTTGCCACCACTGACTGCTTCTTGCTTTTTCACGAGGCTAAGTTGCCTCCTATAAAGATGCAGTATCCTGAGGTAGACCTCCTGTCATCAGCACAGCTAGCCCAATCAGAGTCACAATAACCCTCAATGCTTACATGTTCATTTTTTCTGAATATCAGCCCTTTTCCGGGAGAACTCTTCAAATACCTTAGAATTTGGTACACTGCATCCATATGACCCTTCCTCGGATCATACATATAGCGGCTCACCACACTCACTGCAAAAGAGATATCGGGACGTGTGTGACTCAAATAGATCAACCTGCCCACTAGCCTCTGGTATCTGTCACGGTCAACTGGTTCTCCAGTCTCAGCACCCAGCTTGAACTTCTGGTCGATCGGTGTAGTTACAGGTTTTTACCCTAACATCCCTGTCTCCTTAAGAAGATCAAGTGTATACTTTCTTTAGGAGAGGACAATCTCTTTCGCTCCTCGAGCTATCTCTATTCCAAGAAAGTATCGAAGCAAACCAAGATCTTTCACCTCGAATTCTTTTCTCAGTCTCACTTTGAGTTGGGCAATCTTCTTCTCATCATCTCCTGTAATAATCATATCATCCACATATACTGCAAGCATGGTAATGTGGCCTTCACTCCGTCGAAAGAACACGGTATGATTGGCGTTAATCTGCTGGTACCCCATACCTATCATAGCCCTCTTGAATCTGTCAAACCAAGCACGAGGAGACTGTTTCAGCCTATAGACAGACTTCTTCAATCTGCAGATCTTACCCACTGTCTGATCTGTGTTGAATCCTGGTGGTATCTCCATGTATACCTCTTCCACTAGATCTCCACGAAGAAATGCATTCTTCACATCTAGTTGGTGTAGCTTTCATCCATTATTTACTGCCAGAGAGATCAAGGTCCTAACAGCGCTCATCTTCGCCACCGGTGCAAATGTCTCATCATAGTCGATGCTATATGTCTGACTGTACCCTTTTTTCACCAGACGAGCTTTATAGCGCTCAACCTGTTCATCTGGATTCTGTTTCACAGTGAAGACCCACTTACATCCAACTGCTCTCTTCCTTTCTGGTAGTTTTACTAACTCTCAAGTGCGGTTCTTTTCAAGAGCCTCTAGCTCCTCGTGCATAGCCGTTTTCCATTTTGGGTCATTCTTAGTAACTTGCCAGTTGTTAGGTACAGTAATAGAGTCTAATGATACAATAAATGCTTCATGTGCAGGGTGAAAGAATATGATACAAATTGGGTAAGATCTCAACCATATCTATCGGGAGGATTTCCTGCGTTGCTGCGAGTAATCCTCCGTACTAACATTGGTGTAGGAGGAGTAAGGAAAGGAATGATATCACATTGGGAGGAATCTGGTGGTGGTGTAGGTGTCTCAGGAGTCGAGGCAGGTGTTGACAAGGAACTTGGCACCAGTGACACTGTAGGTACTGTTCCCGTAATTTATTTTCCCTTCCTACTATAGGTAAGTGCTCCCCCTGAGCCGTGAGCCTAACACCTCTTGTCTCATTCTCCTTTTTTTCTTCATTCTCCTGCTCCTCAACCAATTCTCCCTCCTAAGGAATCGATACAGAAATTGATTTCTCCACATTGTTCACTGACCTCTCACCATTCTCCCCCTCTCACCTCATACTTTCAGTATCGGGCGAGTTACCGCCGGATGAAGTTACCTTCCGGGTGTAATATGGTTCGAGTTCTCGAAAGTGCACATTCATGCTCACAAATAGCCTCGTTTCCACCGGGCTCCAACAAACATATCCCTTCTGAGTAGCAGAATATCCCACAAAGATGCACTTCACCGTTCTAGGGGCAAGCTTCCCGACGGATGGCCTGTTGTCCTTCACAAAACACACACAGCCAAACACCTTCAGTGAAAGAATTCTACCATTATCTTCCTTCAATATCTCGCACGGAGACTTCCAATCCAGCACTCTCGAGGGTATTCTGTTGATCAGCGCTGTTGCGGTCAATATTGCTTGCCCCCATAATGTTTCTGGGACATTCATGGAGATCATCATGCTTCTCGCAACCTCTAAAAGATGTTTGTTATTCATTTTCACTACCCCATTCTGAGCTGGTGTGTATGGACATGTAGTTTGGTGCTGTATCCTCCAAGGTTTTAAATGTCGGCCGACATGTCCGACATGTCGGCCGACATATCGGTTTGAGTGCTTGACCGACACGACATGAACGTTTTTAACTCGTATGTCGATTTTCAGGGCAAAATCGGAAATATCAGGGTCATATCGGGCATATCGGCCTATTTTTTAGCTTTGAAAAATCGACAGATATAGTACTTTTTTTTAAGTTCTGTTTTTTGTTATCCGGTTTGGGTTTAGTGATAAATACCCAAACACGTTTGACTCGTTCTCATGTTTAAGGGTTTCTTATGAACCCGATAGAAAGAATTTATGAACCCAAATCCATATATTATTTACCTTTTTATTTGTTTAGTCTATAGAATTTATAAAGTATGCTTATATTGAATTTATGAATGCTTAGATTACATTTAGGACATGATATTATACATATGCGCACTACCCGATATGGCAATCCGATATTTAGTCTATGTCCTCCGATATATCCCCGATTTCCGCTATCTGACATGGATTTTAGCCATCCGACATGAACCCGACATCCGACATTTAAAACCTTGGTATCCTCTAAGCTGACAAGTATTCTGTAAGCGTTCTGTTGGTATACTCTGTCCCATTATCAGACCTCAATACCTTCACCACTGCTCTGTATTGAGTCTGAACATACCTATGAAAGTTTTGGAAGCAACCAAACACTTCACTTTTATTTTTTATCAAGTATAACCAAGTAACGCGAGAGAAGCAATCAATGAAGGTAACAAAATACTTGTATCCATTCATAGTAACGCGAGAGAAGCAATCAATGAAGGTAACAAAATACTTGTATCCATTCATAGAACTTGTGGAACAAGGCCCCCAAACATCTGAATGTATCAGGTCAAATGCATGAGAACTCCTATGTCCAGAACTAACATAAGAGCTTCTAGTAAGCTTTCCAAACTTACATGCATCGCACACAAATTTCTGTTTATTTGCTTTCTCAAATAAAGATGGATACAACCTACTTAAAACACTAAAGGATGAGTGTCCCAAACGTTGGTGATAAAGCATCAACACACTCTCAACACTCATCTCAGATTCTACTCCTGCTCTCTCTACGATTGATACCAACGCTGAATCCAGCCCGTCACGATCCAAGTACCACAGTCCACTACTCCATGTGTCAGTCTCAAGTCTCCGTTCTGTCCCTTTCTCCTGGAAGATCACATTGGGAATATCAAAAGAAACAATGCATTTTAGTTAGAGTATGATAGCACTAATGGATAAAAGATTGACTAGAAAGGAAAGAGCATGCAAAACATTGGACAAAGTTACAGAACCTGTATAATTTGACTGTACCCTTATCAATCACTGGCTGAAATGTACCATCAGCTGTTTGGATACTATTAGCCGATGTTAGGTGAGTATATGATGAGAACTCACTAGCATTACCTGTCACATGTCGAGACGCACCGGAGTCGACTATCCATTTTGAAGATCTATTGGGAGACATAGAAGTAAGAGCATGTATGTCATCAGTACCTTTGGTCGGATGAACATAAGTAGCAGTGTTGTCTCTGGCGAAGAATGAAGTATATGCCTCCTCAGTCTCACTCCTCCTGTCTCCATCTCCTGCTACTTTCTGCTTCCTCCTGAGTATTTCTAGGAGCGCATGATCCTCCTCAGTAAAGACCACCTCAACTGCTTCTTCTCTCTTTGCTACCATCAGATTCGTCCTGTTGTCTGCTCCTCTTCCACCCCGTCGACCCCCACGGTCACGACCACGACCACGACCTCCGAACAGTCCACGTCCACCCGATTCTCCTTCATTGGGTGGCTTGGTGCAAGCATGCTTTAGATGACCCACTTCACCGTAGTTGTAACACTGTCGAGTCTCCCCCTTGAATCTAGTGTTGTTAGAGGTCGCCAGTGCTGACTTCACCACAGGAAGTTCACCTGTCCCCGCCTGTAGCGTAATGCGAGTCTCTTCCTGGATCATGGCCGAGACTGCCTCCTCAAGTGTGAGAATCTTCGACTGAGCTAGTAACAATATAATCCTCTGAGCAAACTCTGATGCCAATCCCTTGAGAAACACCATAGTCCTCTCCTGTAGAAATGCCTCTCGCTCCTTACACTCCGGGTCCTTGCAGCTGGTCCGAGATGAGAAGTGATCATAATCTAGCCACAGGTGCTCCAGCTCTGTGGCATACTCATGTACAGTCCTTTTTCCTTGGACTGTGGCGTCGATTTATCCTTTGATCTGGAACACCCTCAGGTTATTTCTCACTCCATCATAGGTCCTCCTCAACTTCTCTCAGACATCCTTCACCTTCTCAATGTCATCCACTGTGGCTGCGATCGACTAGACCAGTGAGTTAAGGAGCCAGATGTACACCAACATATGAGTGAACTTTCACTCATCTCTTCTCACCGAGCCCTCAGCCGGCTCTGTCTTCTCCCCTGTCAAGTACTCTTTCAGGTTCCTCCCTGCAATGGTGTATCTCACCCGCCGTGACCAACTCAGGTAAGTAGTTGGCTCATCAAGTTTCAGATCGATGGGTGGAAGCTCTAACTTCGCCGGTGGCCTTGTCGCGCTCTCACCAGCCGACAACTTCATCAGCCGCATCAAAGTTGAGACCTCCGCATGGTTCAACTTCTTGATGATCTCCTCCATCGATCAGGCTCTAGAGCAAACATTTTTTTTCTCCTTCTTTTCAAACTCTTGTTGTGCGCAGTGAAAAATTTTAGCAGCACTTTTGTTGCACAACAAGAGTAAGATCTCAACTAAATCCTTATTTCTCAAAGGAAACAAGAATCAAAAGTGATATATCTCAACAACGTGGGATATACACTCTTCCTCTCATCAGTTTTAGGACTGACATGTCGAGGGAATCTGACAGGCTACACATCCTCTCATCAGTTCTATGACTGAGATGTTGAGGGAATCCAACAAGCTACACAGTCCACTCATCTGACACGAACTTGGGCAGCAGCAAGGGAGGGGTGCAAGGCAGCGGGGTTTGGGTGCAGCGACAAGGGGGTTAGGGTAGCGTGGTAGCCGAGGGTTAGTGGCAAGCGATTAGGGAGGGGGTTGCGGGTGTGCAGGCGGGTGGGCAGCGAGGGGCAGCGGGTGCAGCGGCAGGGGCAGCGGGTGGGTGTTTGCAGGGGCACGGTGCAGCGGCAGCTAGGGGTGTGTGTTTGCAGCGGGTGATGGCTTAGCGGGCGCGGATCTGGGCGAGCTAGGTCAGCGGGTGCAGCGCAGGGGGGGTGCTATGGGGCGTGTCGGGCACGGGATCTCAATGGGGGGTTGCAAGGAGACGCGGCTAAGTTGGGCGCGGCCTGAGATGCGGTGAAAACGAGAGAGATGAAGAGCGGGGCGGGTTTGGGAGGTGGGGCGACGGCTAAGGGTTATGGGGAGGTGGCTCTGATACCATATTGAAAATAGAGAAAACCCTTTATCTTATTATGAAACCTCTTGGGCTTATATAGGCCCCTACAAACACAACTTACAAATAAACCCCTAAATATTATCAATATGTCAACATATCTAGAGTTGCTGATGGGCTTCGATAGAAAGTGAACTATATATATACATTCACATCCCATTTAAATTCCTGTAGGGAAGAAAAGAAGGGATCAACAATGACAATTCTGGTGCAAGTCCTCGTTGGGTTCCATCTCAATTGTTGGCATTGGTGAGCTTCTTTTTCTTTACTTATGCTGCTTTAATCGTTTGATTTTCTTCGTATAAGTTGACTTTTGGTGCTATATTGTGTCTGCAATGGAAATGCCAAGTATAATGGTTTTTTGTGGTTGTTTTTCTACCAGTTGTCAAGTTCAGAAGAAATTGTACGTTAATTCTTATACGGTAACTCTTATAAGTATTTCATGCCTGTAAATCTTGATGAGAAACATAAATTGTATTGAGGACGAGAGATTAAAGTACAGTGTAACCACCATAAGGGGATGAGTTATCTATAACCAGTCAGAGATCACCACATTCAATATTCTTAAACAGATAACATAGTCATGAAAAGTATTTGATTTTTGAGAGTGGGATCTCCTCTCTTTTCTTTGAGGTCAAAGGCAGAATAGTGGTTAGAGTAGTAGATTTGTTCTCATTTCTGCTGTCTCTGAAAGTAGGCTTTGTTTTCAGACCCAAACTGGATTTCATCCCGATATGTTTATCCTGCTTGCTACATAACTTTCTCAGTGAGCATTTTCATTAACTTCACTACTTTTTGAAGATAATAGGACAATATTTCTGACATCTTCTGGAATTCCATGGAAGTTCTTCAATTACTTGTTAGAAATTTTGAAATCCTGCCCTTTCTTTTGATGTATGTCAATCATTATGGACAAATAATATCATTCACTTGAATGTTACCGACTTAGGGCTTATAATCACCCTAAAATTTGAGTTACCTATTTAAAGATAATAATGGTTTGAATGTCCTTCTGTAAGTTGTTGATCAATTATTTAGATCTGTTACTGGTACAATCTGATACAGTAAGTTGTTTTATATTTTGCTAATCTGTCAATTTTCCTGTTTAGCTCACCATTTATCGCCAATTAATGTTTGTTAAGTTTTCGTCTTACTATTTAAGCTTTAAAATTGTATGGTCAAATTGTCTGTCTGGATGCCCGAAATGCTTTCTTTGTATGTAGATATGGAAGAACTATGATACTCCCTTTTGCTTGTTTATTTTAGTAAGAGCTGACTTTGTCAGTAAATTGATTTGTGTAACTTCTTATTATGTAAAAATTCATGCTATATTTTTCATTTGTTAAATACTTAAAAAAATTCTATCTGTATTAGGTTGATGTCCCTGCATCGTCTGATGCCCTTATGTCACTGATTGGAGCTCAAGGTGGTCCTTGTGAGCAGACTTCATGGGAGCTCAGCTGGTCACTGGCGAACAAGAATAATGATCCTAAGACCGGGGATAGTGCTTCCTACAGACAGGTGAAGCCCTCAAACTATTGAATAAAGCTGCCCATTTTTATAAGGGATAATTGCAGATAGACCCCTTACTATCAACCAATTGCGGATAGGTCCTCTGTAGCTCTATTGTTGCAGATGGATACACTGAGTGAATTTTTTTGACTCTTTTACCCTCAAGAGAAAGAGAAATTTGTTTTTTTCACAAATAGACCTCCCGAGGGTAAAAAAGTCAAGAAAAAGTTCACTCAGGGGGTCGATCTGCAACAATAGAATTAGAGGGGGTCCAACCTCAATTGGGTGATAGTACAAGGGGCCTGTCTGCAATTAACCCTTCTTATGATGGTTCTATAGCAGACATTAGTTTGGTTCTCATGAAATTTGTTTTTTTTTGGGAAAATTTGCAAAATAGACCGTTTTTATAAAGTAATTAGCGAAATAGACCACTTTTAAAAGTAATTAGCAAAATAGACCTCTTTTTGGCCAATAGGCCAAAAAGAGGTCGATTTTGAAAAAATGGCTTCAGAAAACATACGGGACTACTAGTCCCGTATGTTTAAAGCTAACTAATCTAATGATTAGTGCACTAATTATTAGATTAGTTAGCTTTAAACATATGGGACTAGTAGTCCCGTATGTTTTCTGAAGACATTTTTTCAAAATCGACCTCTTTTATCAAAAAGAGGTCTATTTTGCTAATTACTCTCAAAAGTGGTCTATTTCGCTAATTACTTTATAAAAACGGTCTATTTTGCAAATTTTCCCTTTTTTTTCCTTTGAAAGTATTTGCAAGTGTCTTTTCTTCACTTTTGGCAGGTTGAAAATGATTTGAAGTTTTCAGAAGAATCATATAGAAAATTGTCATTGGATGAATCATATAGTGCCACTGTTATGGCCAAAACAGTGACAAGAATTGCTTTTCTTGGTGTTTCATCTTTAGACATCAAGGTAATTTTTGTTTTTAACTCAGACCCTTGCAACGTAGCAAGTCTATGTATTTTTCTTAACCACAGAAGCATGCCAGTGAATCGTTTACTTTTCTGGAATTGGGATTTAGTTTATAGTCTTTGGAAATATCATCATGGGGGTTTATGGTTTTGACTTTCCTAGGGCGTACGGAATATAGGTATATCACATCTTCAAAAGCGAGGAGATTTTCTTCTAGTTATGGGCTCTCCCTTTGGGGTTTTATCTCCATGGCATTTTTATAACAGGTAATTATCTTACATTCATTATGTACATGTTATTTTACTTTAGATATGCTGTATATATTACAAGTAAGTGAGTGATGTGAATCTTCTATTCGGATAAATTGAAAGAATCTTTTCTCTGTTTCTCCACTTTGGAGTAATTGATGCTTGAGCTAGCAACTAATTTAATTTCTGGCTCAAACACGAGCCCAGATTCTTCATGTTATTTTCGCCATTTTGCAACGGGTTCAAGTTAAGCTATTCAACCAGTTGAAGTTAAAAAGTATATTCGAAATACAAAATATGGACCCTAATAAAGGAGGGGAAAAAAAGAAGAAGAAGAAGAAGCAAGGTAGCATTGCTAGCCTTTAAACTAAGTAGACAACTTTGTTCTGCTTGGAGACTGAAAAACATGCCACTTCTAGTTGGAAATGGAGAGAAAAAAATCATGATTAATTCAAGGGTATATGCTAATCTGGCGAACTAATATCAAAACATGTACGCCCTCATAAGATCAGAGAAAACATGTATGCTTTCAGCCTTTCATGGTGTTTACAGTTAGGAGTTACACTCTATCAACTAAATGACAATTACATTTAACATTAATATAGCTAAATAACCTTTACTAAATATTTATAATTAACTCATGATTGCTAATAATGAATGATACAGTTTAGCCTAGAAAATTTATTAAACTGGTATAGTATAGATGAGGTTGAGCAGGCTGGCAAATCCTAAAGTCAGCATCCTCTTATCAGATACTTCTGACCAGAGAAATTTATTCTGCGAGTCTGCTTAATAAGAATACTAGTGGAATAGCAACTCATCATATTAGCATGAAGCTCTATATGAAACAAAAATATGAACCTCTATATGAAAGATAAGTATACTAATGTACTTTGTTGATGCATTTATACAATAAAAATATGAGCCTCTATATGGAAAATATGTTTTTGTTTTCACCAAGTCATCATATTAGCATGCTTGAGGCTTCACAATTTTTACTGCTTAAAGTTGTAAGGTGATACTTCCCTTCTTGAACCAGCATCTCAGTTGGAACTGTAGCAAACTGCTATCCTGCAGGTTCAAACCATAGCTCATTGTTAATGGCGGATATCCATGGCCTTCCTGGTATGAGAAATGTAACTCTATCCCTTACCCATTCTAGTATGACACTGAAGTACACACTCAGATGGGGTATTTGATGTCTCAGGAATGGAAGGGGGCCCCGTTTTTGACAACAAAGGCTTTCTTACTGGTATCCTAACTAGACCCTTGAGGCAAAGAGGAGGCATTGCCGAGATCCAGGTAACAACTATTTCTCCATGCCTATTCAATTTCCTTCATTTTGAATCTGGGTGCATTATGAAAATATGTATAACAGCTTGTTATACCATGGGATGCTATAGCAACTGCCAGAAGTAATATACTGCAGAAGCAATCTCAAAGAATCGATGGGAGCATCAATAGGGTGCAGAAAGCATCAGTATATGCCTCAAATAAAGTAGGGAGTCCTGTCGAAGATTTATCTCTCTCGGAGTCCTCATTAGAAAGGGCTATTCCGTCAATTGCTCTTGTTACAGTGGGTGAGGGTGCTTGGGCTTCTGGTGTAGTACTCAGCAGCCATGGCCTTATACTCACAAATGCTCATATTTTGGAACCATGGAGATTTGGAAAAACATCTCTACTAGGTTCGATGGACAAATATGCCGCATCATCTTCTTATGAAAATTATTTAGATTCTGTGACAAATGAGCATGAAGCATCGTTCTTGAATTCAAATTACAGAAGCTATGGAAAAATATCAGTTTGCTTGTGTCATAGGGAGCAAAGAATGTGGTATGGTGCTAGAGTGGTTTACGTTTCAAAAGGGCCTTGGGATGTTGCTTTACTGCAAACTGAATCTATTCCATATCATCCTTGTCCCATCACTCCTGAATTTGTTTGCCCAGCCATAGGTTCCACAGTTCACGTTATTGGGCATGGTCTTCTTGGGGCCCGTTCTGGTGAGGAGAGTTAAAAGCCTGTTTTAAGATGAATTTTTGGCTCTCTTTATATTTTTCCTTCTTACTTCACCATTTAGTATTTTTTGTTAAATAATGTAGTTTATGTTAAATGTAGATCTCTCTCCATCTGCTTCCTCTGGAGTATTAGCAAATATTGTCAGAGTGCCAGAATCAAACAGCGTACGTGAATCCAGCATAGTCGGTACTGATAGAAGAAATGCACCAGTAATGCTTCAAACGACCGCTGCTGTTCATCCAGGAGCAAGTGGCGGTGCTGTCGTTAATTCAAATGGTCGTTTGATTGGACTTGTGACCTGGTGCGTTTTTCTACACCAAGAATTCAATTGTGTTCTCTTTTATACTCGAGCATGATTAAAGATAATATTTGTTACACAAATATGAGAGGCATTAAAAAGGTGTTGTTTTCCTTCACATTTTATTCTTGCTAGACAAATATGTTAGAGAAATAATTACGCAAATATTGACTGAATTGGATGTACCAAAAATTAGAGTGATCATATTTCTATGCTTGTGTTTACATTTCTTAATTGGGGGTAATATTTTCAAGGCTTTCCCATTATGTGCTTATTTAACCTGCTTCTTCACTTATGCTTTTCTTCCTGATTGTTGAAAACATTCTTTATCGTTTTAATCTTTAAAATAAGTCAATTTATTTGAGGGATAACCTTGTGCTGCAAAGTTCTTTTTCCTACGAGATAATGGATAAGTCGGTCCAATGAGAGATCAATCTTTTATGTAGAACCTCTCCTACAAAATGTATCTAAACCTGTCAGAAAATTCTCTACATCATTTTATTGTCATATCATCTTCAAGCCTTTTGCCATCAAATGGTATCAGCTATGTAACTGCAAAATTGAAAAGGCTTAAAGAAAGATTTAATTGCAATTTTGGGAGCTTGTTGTCTACTTGTCTAACTGACACGAACCCTTTAATTTGGCATCATTACTTTTGATACCTTTTAAATCGAGAAGCATGCTTCCATCATTCCATTAAGTTAAAAAAAAAACATTTCTTGATGAGTCTCTGTAACCTGTAGATCATTCTTGTTCCGGGCATTTTGTTTATCTCCTTACTTTTTTTTCTTTTACTTTCACCATATTCTGCTGTCGATTTCTTTATTTCCAGCGGCAGTGTGCTTAGAATTTTTTTTTCTCATTTTCAGCAACGCAAGGCATGGCGGAGGAACTATTATACCACATCTTAACTTCAGCATCCCTTGCTCGGCTTTGGATCCTATCTTCAAGTTTTCAGGTGCTCTTAAATAGTCTTGAATTCTTTTTATGAAAATTAATTGAATTTTGTTTCTGATAATTTCTTTCATCTGATGCACATATTTGCCTCCAGATAAGCAGGAATTAGCAACATTACAAGTTCTAGACTCTCCAAATGAACTCCTATCTTCTATCTGGGCTTTGATGCCACCTCCATCTACAGGGATACAGGCTTTGCCAAAGAAGAATGATAAGAAAGCAACAGGATCTCGTTTTTCTCAATTTCTTGCTGAGCAGCATTCAGATATGACAGCTTTGAAGGATCAAAAGCATCTTATTGTAAGCAAGTTTCGTAGTAAAATATGACACTGAAGGAGTTATAGTTACTTAAAAAATTATACAGATGTATTATGTTCTAAGTTAATAAGGCAAGGTTTTCAAATGTAACAATAATGTTTTTGTACAATCTTGGTGAATATCAGTTT